GCCTCTTTCCAGGTCTTGCTGTGACTGGTCGTCGTATGTGCTGCTGAACTTCTTGGCGTGCCGCCGATTGATTTTCAAAAGTTGCATGTCAATATGATTGATGACGGTCATCTCTTTCATCGACCCCGCCTTGAGGGGATGTGATCTTGGCTTTGGGAGCACTGGAGTCGCTGTTGAGCTCCACATAGATGACGGTGCAGGTGATGGAATAGATGGTTGCATGAAGCCCCCGGCCCCAGGGCCATCAGCTGCGGTTGATGCCATTGATTGTGATGTGACGGAGAGACTTGAGTAGGCTATAATAACACTCCAACACTCGCCGATAGTTTATATTGAATGCTGTAGTTCTGAACAATGGTAGGCTCAAGGTGCAGCTTCGATATATCTTCGGGGCTGATATTCCGTTCAACCACGTATATGATTCAACCAGATATGGTACGCCACTCTCATTATTCTCTTCTAATTTAATAGTCCGTTAGCTCACAAGCGAAAAGTACGTAGCTGGCAATAATGCTTCAGACACCGTGATCGGTCATATGATGTTGGGTTGAAGATGTCATTGCCAAGCCTTTCTGTCCAACTGGTCTGTGCGCGACTCCCATGTGGCTGGCTTTACCATGTCTACATGGGATGAGAAAGACGGCAGGGTCTGAGTCGCTCGGTCTCAAAACAAGGGTGGATAGGTATCTATAGTAAGGCTTGTATAGGAGCAAGAATGATACAGCCAAGTACGAAATAATCATCAACAATCGCCGGCATGGCGGATCTAAAGATCCGCGTTGTATTTCTTCTCGAACGTCCTAAGGTATCTAATATTTACCAGAAAAGCCTCAAGAATGTATACATCTATTTGGATAAAATGCGTTAGCATATTGTGATGGGTGTGCCAAAGAACAAGCGCAATATAGAGAAAGGGCTCCATTCTTCAGAGGTGAGAAGATTTCATTTATCGCTGGTTTTTGAAGGCATTGCATGACATCGAAATGAGTCTTGCTACTCTGGCCCCAGCGTGCTCATCATTGAATTGGGCAAGCGGAAAACGAAAGAATAGGAGAAGGATTGACTCACATGTACTCAATAACCTTCAGTCCTCTACCCTCTCTATCTTGTGAAAGAAAACTTTTCGGGCCCAACCGTCCTAAACGCCATGCTAAACGAGATATTTTGTTGAACATATTGAACAGGGGACATCACTCAGGCTGCAGAGTAGTCAGTCAAAAGGTACCAGAATACGAGCGAGGGAAATGACTCACCCTAATCTTCCCCTTGCGTCTCTTCATTTCTTCCAATTTCTTCCGGTCCTCATCAAACCTCTTCAGCAACTGGTTCTGTCTCTCCTTCCTCTTCTCACGCGACTGGAACCGGTAGAAGTCCTCCAAACCCTCCTGCTTCTTCTTCTGCTTCTCAACCAGTGCCCGAGCCTCTTCTTCATGCGCAATAGACGTAAGCTTCGGCCCACTCGTGACAGTAATGAACCCATCCTCGTCCGGCTCCTGAGCCCTGCGAGCCTCCTCACGCTTACGACCCTCCGCGACCTGCGTAAACACAGTCATGAAGTCGTTCACCGTGCGAAGCAGGTCAGCCCGATTCGGGTAACAAGCCTGACTGTGGTTGAGATACCGCTGGAGCCCTAGAGCAGGTAATCTATCCTCGACGCCTTCTCCCCAAACAATCTTCGCGCCCTTCTTTGCGGCTTTGGTCGCAGCTTTCAAACTGGCTTCCATGCTCGACTTGTCCGCGAAGACTACTACGGCGTGTGCACCGCTCTTTTGCAATTCTCGGTCCCATGTTGATGGTAACGCAATGTCGTCGAGTTGGTCCTGCAGTTCGTCTACCGTAACCCTCTTCCGCTTCCTGCTTTTCGAGACGCTTCCCTGTGTAATGGCCACGGAACCTTTCTTCGTCGGGACTCCCTCGAAATGAACTTTTTCGACTCGACCCGCGGAGAGCTGCGTACCGAACAAGTGGCGCAGATGTAGCTCGGTCGTGTCTATCGGCACATTGACGACGAAAAGAGAACGGGGAGAATCTGCATCGGGAATGCGAGGCTCGTGAGGCCGGAGGTAGAGGTAATGTGTTGCAGGCTTTGGAAACGCTCGTGATTCGGGGAGTTGAACCGGCAGGATTGCGTAACCTGCTATTTCAAGAGACTGCTTCTTCATTTTGGCAGCCTGATAAAGATGGGCGACCGGCTGTCGCTACGAACGAAATAATTGCGCGGCGAAGAAATACCTTCTTTTTGGTTACTGAGAAGTTTTGCTCTAGCGGAAAATTAGAATAATTTTGGGAAGGCGGAGACTAGGCGGAGTACCACACAGGATCGACAACCCATAACTACTGTGCACATTGGAATTGCTGCACATGGTAGATCCACTCAAACAAATATACCTAGGACATCTCATAATAATCTAACATCTGCTCACTTGCCGCTCTCCCTCGCTGGGTGTGATTTTCTGTATTGAAATTGTATGCTCTTTTTCTCCTCTGCATGGAGACCACCAATCTCATATTTTAGACCTTGTCTGGATCATTAATACCACCGTTGGTAATCACATAAGTCGCCTCTCGCTCAGGGCAGTCTTTAGACAGTCAGGCCAGCTCTGTTAAAAGCGTCGGAAGATACAAACCTGGAGAGTCCTGTATCTTTGCCACACGTTCTTCACCACGACCCTTGCGAAGGAGGACTCTGGTCGTGGATGCATGCGCAAGGACATGACCACCAACAGGCTTACGGCCATCAGCTCCCGCAAATAGAGCGCTGGCGCCGGGGTCACTCTGGACTTGGTTTGTCTACAGATTGATGTGAGACTTGGTTCGCTGCAAGAGGAAGTAAACATACCATTAAGACACAGACGTTGAACTCTGAGAGAGAAAATGTCTGGATTAGTTCTGTAAAGTATCGTGAAGGATATTGACAACTACAAACCTTCAGCCATATGTGCAAGTCTCATCAAGAACTGGTTCAGCTTTTGCTGACGGTCCGCGAGTTCTCCTCGTCCGCAGTAATCCACTCGGAAGCAATTCATGATACTGTCAATTATTAACAATCTGTACTCGCCTCCAGCGAATTCTCTGCTCAGCGTATTGAGTAGTTCCAGCTGATGCTCGCTGTTCAGAGCTCGAGCGTAAGCAATATTTTCCTGAGCAGAATCGGGATCGACGCCAAATCTCTCTGCTATCTGAGCAATGCGCTCTGGTCTGAAGGTGCCTTCGGTGTCGATATAGGCGACCTTACCGTCTGCACCACCCATCTCCTTAGGAAGCTGGGCGACGACAGACATTGTGTGAGACAGCTGCGTTTTACCGCAACGGAATTCTCCAAAGACTTCACTGATACTCATGCTCTGGAAACCACTAGGGAGAAGTCAGAGAGTTGCAAGTCCGGTACAATCCCGGTAACTCACCCTCCCAGAATTGAATCAAACTGCTTGCTTCCCGTTGAGATCTTGACCACTCGCTTGCGTTGATGACTTAACTCCATAGCGGTTATAAAACCCGATGCAGCTGGCTAAGCAATGTCAGACGAGCTTCTCACTGTGACTCTCGGTGCAGAAGTTTCATGGTAGTCCTTACCAAGCATTTTTGTATAGCCTCCTTGATCTTCTCGACCTTGACCTCGCTGAAACCCTTTATCTTAAGAAGCGTCTTCCGGGTGGCACCGTGAACCGACTATGAAGAGAGTGAGTTCATATGAGGACAACATAACAGCATAGACGAAGCAGAGGGGGCGCATTACAGCAACAGTATAGAAACCATTTGCCTTGAGCTTAGTGATATCTGCAGCGCCAATACCTTCAGCACAGTCAGCTCGAATGGGAATGCACCGGTGGGACAAGGTGTACCATGAGCCTGAATGCTGTCGATATCGACAATGAAGGCCTGGAGTGGCTAAGGGTTAACCGTCTGTTGAGGTCTAGCACATCGGTCGCATATAACGCGACCTGGTATTTCAGCAAGCAAGACAGGAAAAGGGAAGGAGACTCTACATCGTCGTTAAACTCATCCCCTGATTCCGATTCCGGCATGATGACTTATCAAGTGCTCGTAATGGCTACTTACGAGAAGAAAATGATAGGATGATAACAGGAACAATATATAGTAGGATCAGCTGGAGTCCAGAGTAGAAGAGATCTGGTACAGGACTGGGAGGAAGCAGAAGACGCAAGGTAGACCGGTCGTCACGGGGTTTGACCGTAACAGGAAACGGGGCTACAAGACCAGAACAAACTCAACACAGAGCAGCCAGGCCTCAAGTATTAATAATGACGAAGAAAAGACGTGCAGGGCACGGAGCAAATAATCCTCAAGACTTGAGGCTGCAGTGGGAGTGGAAGAGTCGTCCAAGGCCAACAGAGAGTAAAACGTGGTCGTAAAGGCGTAGCATAGGCAGGAAGAGCAGCACTTTCATGAAGTTGAAGTTTCATCTGTTTGATGGATTCTGGGGTTTTCCTTCTTTCGGCTATCCATCAGGATAAGCATAAGAGAGGCAGTAAGTACGAGCAAATGAGGTCGCCACACCGCGCCAGTGACCTTGTCTTTCACAATTTTCAGCACATTAAAAATCGTCCGTACCGTCTTGTCAACCCTTCTTATGCATATCAACACGCTCACTCCGGTCCACCAATGTCTCTCCTGCGCTCAATTAACCTTTCGCCTCGCCTCGTCTCCTTCTTTCCTTGCCGCACCATGATTCAAATGAGAAAGATACCCGGGGAGAACAATAGACGCCAATCATGAGAACCTTGAGCCATGTGTAGGATCCAAGTCGTCAGGAACCTAGGGACATCGTGAAACTTTTGTTCGTCGTATACATAATAGTGATAAAAAAGGCCGGTGCTGAGAAACCTGAAATCGGGGGCATAATATATGCAATGGAAGAAACGTGAGAGGAAAAGAAAGGAGATATCAAGACCGAGTTCCGCAAAACCCTAATACAAAAAGGAGGAGTAAAAATGGGCTTCCCTTAAAGCGGGATTCGTAGACGAGATAAAGGTGGTCGTTTAAGCGACAGCGGCGGTGGGGGCAGGGGCCGGAACAGAAGCAGCTTCGGCGCTGGCCTCAGCGGCGGCAGTGGTAGCGGCAGGAGCGGGGGCAGCGGCAGCAGGAGCAGTAGCCGACTCAGCAGGCTGCTGGTTAGCAGCCTCGTTGTTAGGGCAATCGCGAGAGATGTGGCCGGCCTGAGAGCACTTGTAGCAGACCTTGCCAGCAGAGCTCAGGGGACCACCGTTAGGGGCGGTGCAGTCACGGGAGATGTGACCCTTCAGTGTGTCAGCTAACGCCTTGGTCAAAGATCATGCATGTGAGAGCACTTACAAGCTTGCCACAGGCATAGCACTTCATAGCGTGAGCTTGGCAGTCACGAGCGAAGTGGTTGGGACCACCGCACTTGTAGCAAGTAGCGGCACGAGGGTAACCACCATATCCACCGCGGAATCCACCGTTAAACCCCCCGCGAGGAGCACCGGCACCACGACCGGCACCAGAAGCAGGAGCGGGGCAGTTGCGCTGGAGCACCATCTAAATTAGCCGAATTCAAAAGATAGAAGAGAGAGTATGTTCGACAGCGACGTACAGCGAGATGGCCGGGTTGGTTGCAATTGTAGCAGCGGCCGTTAGCTCCACCGTTGAGACGCAAAGTAGGACAATCGGCCTGAACGTGGCCTAGTCCCTGGCAGTTGTAGCACTGCTTGGCTATTATCGATGAGTCAACATCCTTGCGCTTTCCAAAGCCTGAGATTGGAAGATCTTACTCTCGGTAGTACGAGGACGCGGGCAGCTGCTGGACTCATGTCCTATGGTTTGGGGTCAGACATATGGTTTGGGGTCAGACATATGGTTCGGGGGCAGGTAGCACGCAAGGTACATACCAGGTTGCTTGCCTAATTGACAGGGGATTGACACATTAGCAAGGTATTCTGAAAACGCCCTCCTTAATTCAAGGCACTTACAGTTGTAGCAGAGACGCTCGGACGAGGAGCAGACCTCTACGTCAGTCAGCGACAGTCGTCCTAGTCCAAAATTCTTCCCTCCGGCTTTGCACTAACCAGCATAGTGACCAATGTTGCCACACTTGTAGCAGGCACGACGAGACAGCAACATCTTTCCGGTAGGTTAAGCTATATAATGCATCTTCCGTCAGCTCCGCTGATGCCGTTTTGCAGAAACCCCGCTGCTGAAGGCGGCTGTTGCGCATTGATTGTGTCGGATGTATGATGCATAGCATTTGGAAGCTTCGGAGACAATCTCAAACTTTATTGTAACAACAAAGTGCAGTGTATGCTGTCGGGACCGACTCATCGTTGTCCAATCTCTCAATATGGGATTGGCAAGTCGATGACAATGCGACACTATCTCCGAAGGGAACATAGCAGCGAAAGCCAGTCCACGCACGCCAAACAAGGTCCGGGTCGCGAAGACAATTTATTTAATACTCACTCTTCAAAAACCAACGATCTTCAATCTCCTTCTCAATAGGTCTATTTTGGCTGTCAGCTTGAGAACCTTGGAGGATGCGCAGCGCTTCCATCAGCCCACTATTCTCTCGACTCGAAAAAGTGGGCTGACAAAGAAAAAGCGACCAACACCGAAAAAGAGAGAGAGACACACAAAAAAAGGTTTAACTTACAATGCAGCTCAAACTGAACCCTCACAGCACTCCAATCCCTCCAAACCACAAGAGGAACGAAAAGAAAGATGGGAAGAACCTTATATTCCCTGATAATGCACAAAGAGAGGTGAAAGAAGATAGTAACTGAATTGAATCAAGCGATTTAGCCAAGCAAGACAGTGACCATGCTCTTTTCGCAGGGCTTTTTGTTCTGAGGGCAAAACATGAAAAACTTTAGCTCCCGGGCTTTTCCGTATTGCGTAAGGTTGCAAACTCCCCAGATTGCGCAAGGCCTGAGGCACACGTTCCTGATGCTATGGCTAGCTAACGCTAGATAGAGCTTCTCTGAGCTTTTATATGGAGAAGTAGAAGTATATATTTTAGTTCGTCTTTTATTGATATCGAGAGGAATACCTCGCCGGTACGTCTATAGAGTAAAGTGTACTGCTTGTATTTATTTTCGGCTAAGGATTCTGAGATTACACAACTGCTGCTACTGACGAGCAGCTGCTGTTAGCGGATGTGCTCCATTCCTGGGAGGTTAATCATGCAAAGTAGACTAGGGACATTCTCATAATGCAACCTTTGATACCGGCTAATGGAAACTGGAAAGGGATGCAAATCTCTAGGTAGGAAGCTCCTCAGCTGCGGTCAGTGATCCAGCATACCGGATAGCGTAGCCCGCATACGAGCGAGCGGCTTCGGTTGTGTATGACATACTGATGCAGATGACGAAGATATACCTATAATAATCTGACAGAAAATGATAGCAAGAGCATCATGGCTCTTTTATTCTTCTTTTTCAATGAAAGCTGGTGCTTTAATCTCGCGCCCTTTCAGGAATTCAAGACCCTCTCCGCCCTATAGAAATTTGCCTTAATCAGCGCAAGGATTCTTTAAAGTGACTGGAAATGAAGGGGGAAGGGAGGAACTTACATAGCTGATCAACGGAGACACTTCAACACCAACGGCATCGCCCTCAGTAATGACAACACCCCCGGCCTTCTCAATCCAGCGCTGTCCCTGGCTCATAATGTCCCGCCTGCTGGTGTCGGGGTCATCCTCACCAGTGCCCCTCGCGTTCTTCAATGGCGAGAACTCATCCTCACGACGAACCTCGATGCAAGCGAACTTTTCCAAGGGAGTCATGGGAAAGACATCGAAGACAAACTGCTCCAGCTTGATACCATTGGGCTTCTCCGGCTTGAAGAACTCGCCAGTATCCTCCTTGATGCAAGGAATCTTCTTTTTGGCAACATGGTGAGGTAGTCTGTGTGCCCAAGTTTCGATGGATTCGAAGAATTTAAAGGAGTAGTAGTGGTTGACGATGTTAGCCGCACGGAACTTGAGCACGTCAGGCTGTTTGGGATCCTTGGCCTCCGCCGTCTCCTTGTCGATCTCAGAGTACTCGACAACATCGGGCTTGCCGTTCTTCTGCAGGATCAGACCGACCGACTCCGTAGCATTGCGCTTCCGGACTACTTTCGTAGCGACATCAACCTGTTTCGATGCGGCAAAACCAATGAACACAGGATCCGCCACCTTGACAAGGCAGTTGTCGACACAGTATGTGTGAATATGCTCAATACCCCGCTTGCGCATATCCTCTCGCACACCGGAAGTAAGAAGGGCCTGGTAGATACCACCGTTTCCATCAGGAGCAACAGCGACCTATTTTCTCCCTGTCAGAAACCTACAACCGCAGCAAAATTTTAGTATGCGACTGTGAAACGTACCTTGAACTTACTCTCCATCAAGATCTTACCCTCGTTGGAGATGCATGGCAGAACACCTTGCTCGAAGATGATGACATCGCTCTTGTTCAATCCGAAGTATTTGTTCTGTTCGAAGAACTCCTCCGTGGGCTTGCGGGTAGGTCCACTGGTCATGACATACCAAGGGATGACAGCCTCCTTGCTCGAAGTCTTCTGAGCAAGTAGCTGGAGCTTAGCGATCCTCTCCGCCTGGATCTGGAAAAGCGACTTGTGACTAGGAAGCCCGATGTCGAAGCAGCCCTTTGGCGCGGAGCTTCCCAGACGGGTTCCCTGTCCACCTGCCATCAGGACGACCGCAACCTTGTTACCCGCCACAAGTTTGAGCCCCTCTTCATACCATTGTTCGATATCCTTGGGATCTGAGTCGAGAATCGATGCAGTGGCGACGTCCGGCAAAGGTTCAAGCGAAGCGGGGCCATTTTCGGCTTTGGGAGGGTTCAGAGCCTTGTCCGCGAGTTCATTAATTAGGATAGGGTCGAAGTTCGATAGCTGGTGAAAGAGCTGGGACTTTTCGACGGTTTGTAATTCATCAACAAATGCGAAGACATGTCCTTGGCCTGCATCGGTGTACTTTTGTCTAAGCTGCTGGAACTCTTCAGCGGATGGTTCACGGGGAACGTTCTCTGGATGACCATGGAACCTCTCCATGAAGTTGGAGACCGTCTCTTTGATAGCTGCGGCCATACTGATGATTTGATAAGGTCCTCAAAGGGTATCAGATGAAGGGGATGTTGAGAAGGAGAAATAAGGAGAGAAAGAGAGGGGATAATTTGTTTCGAGGAGTGCGGGGTGTAGTTGAAACGAGAGCTGAAGCTTGGGAAGTTCTATCTTTAACTTCTAGCTACCCCTCGGTATTTCACCGCTGACCGCCAGGAAGACGAAACCATTTGATCTCCTGTTATTATTTTTAGCTGGCATGGCCAACCTAGTCCTACGAATGATATAAATATCAGCTCTGACTGTCTCGATTCGAGCTCCCTGAATGGCTCTTTGGACCTCTGGGTCCTTCATGGCGGGGCAAACCATCGGTAGACCCAGTTTCACCGACTAGTGGCCAATAGACAAATAATAGGAGAAGCAAAGGTACTACTCCGGAGTAGTTCTAGTGCCACACGACGTATCAACATTTTCTAAGAGGACAAGGCCCTTTAGGGGTCAAGGTACAATTCCATGTTGACGAGCGAGTTAATATAGGTCGGGTCAATTGATTTGATATGAAGACTAAAATTACATTCCACATTACGAAACAAAACTCCAGACATCAAGTGCCCTCATCAATTCTTAAGATACCAGGTTGCCCTTGATGTAGGGCGACTCATATAGGATTTCCAATAGTTCATCTCTTTCCAAATCGGAAATTAGCGACGTCGCCTTTCTCGGTATCGGTCATCATCGCGACGACCACGCCGCTCGCCATTGTAGGGCCTCTCACGATTTCTATCGCGATAGGAGTCTTCTCGCCTTGGACTTCGACTGTCAGATCTACCGCGGTACCGGTTCCAATGTGCGTCCCGTCTCGGGCTGCGACTGTCTTTTCTGTCCTGATAAGTGCTTCTTTTGGGACTTCGACTGTGACGTCGCTCCCGAGAAGCCGGCCGTTTTCCAGCTTCACCTTTATCGAACACCATGCCATAATCATCCCGCTCGCGGACGTTGTCAGTCGCCCGATACTGCCGCTTCTTCTCAAGCTCAGCCACGCCGCCGAAGCCGCCTCTCTGACTGCGTTTAGCTATGGTAGCATTTCGCCAGCTTTCTGACAGCTTTGATACCTGTAATGTCCTTATTAGAGACCACTGTTTAAAGAGAAGTGCTCGTAATCAGACTCACACTCTGCGAAAAATCAACATGTATACGATGATCGTCGATCAGAACTCCTTGCATCTTGAAGTAAGCCTGCTCGCAATCCTTCTGATTTTCGAACTCGATAAAAGCATACTGTAGACTGTCACCGGTTCGTTTATCTCTGATAACTTCGCAAGACAGAATCGGCCCGAACCGACTGAAGATCAGTTGAAGATCCTCATCTGAACTCACAGTTAGCGGCAACCCATTCTACAAAAATGTGGGAAAGACAAATACCTTGAGTAACAGGATTCAGCTTGCAAACGAAGAGCACATTCTCTGGAGGCTTGACCTCTGCGAATGGAAGATCACCAACCATTTCCAACGTCAATGCTTGCGCTCTTGCCTCGCGCTCTCGCCGCAGCTTTTCCATCGCCTCCTCATCCATGTTGTCATCCAGGTCCTCATCATCAGCAATCCTTACAGTCGCTAGTTGTGCTTTTGAAGGCAATGGACTTTCAGCTGGCACCACTAAGCCAGGAGGATCATCGTAAGGGTCATCGAGGATGACTGTATGGCGGATACGGATATCTTTCAGCGGGCGACCTCGGTCGTCAATAAAGGCTCCGTTGATCTTTTCAAGCACATCGAAGCCCTCCACAACTTTCCCGAAGATTGCTGCTTTTCCATCCAGATAGTCGAGGTTGTCCCCAAGCGTGACGATGAATTGACTGGCAGCGAGGCGCTCGTCGGGATCGTGCGAGGAAGGTACTGTTGCCATACTGACGGTTCCGCGCTCGGTGTGCTTCAACTTCGGCGACAGCTTCAAGGGAAATGTTCTCTTGACAGGGCCTTCCAACAAGCCCCATATCGACGACCCGCCATCGCTTTCCGGGGAATCGGGACCGAGGGGATCACCAGTCTGGAAGGTGAAATTTTTCTGAACGCTATGAACTGGCGAGAAATTGTAATATTTGACTTTGCACAGCTTCAGGAAGCTATATCGGCAGAAAATGGATTGCTTAGTTTCTAGTTCAGCCACTCGACATTGTAACAAGTAACAGGCACAGACCAAGGAAATCACAACAAACAAGAATGGGAGTGTTGGGACGACCTACTTTTCACATGCCTTAGGAGACTCATCAACCAGAAGGTCAATGACAATATCGCCAAGAGAGGTCTCCAAAAGTACGCTCATGATGTTCTACTAGCGGCTGCAGTCGATGTCGCAAAGATCGACGATGCGCTCGTCGGCAGTCGCTGGAAAAAGAAACGGCGTAGAAGTTTCGTACGAAAACCAGATAGAACTGACAAGGATATGGTTGATAGCTGGAGCAGATGAATAAGTTAAAGGCCCAAATATCAAAATCGGTGTGCGAGAGGGACTGACAATAGATACAGGTAGGTAGAATGAGTGACGAGTTGGAGGTGATTTGCAGGACGCGTGTGAAGCTAAGGTGAGGTGCAACTTTCGCGGCCGACCCGCCCCCGAAGAAAGTCAATCCACACCACATACCTGTGTCGATCGCTCAAGCTACTGTCAATCTACCACACACCACACATTAGTCTATCATGCGGGGATGGGACCTTGTCGCCTTTGGCAATCATTACAGCAATCCTAGTTCTTGACTATCGATGAGACGTCGATGGAGGCTTTGACTGTCATACACGCCTTGGAAACGAATCCTCTCTGCCCGTCAATGAAGATCCACAGTTTCGAGGTGCTTGCACATTCGGACGCCTCATCCGGTGCCTTCTTGTGTAACCCATTCCCTATCTGAATCGGCGGCATATCATCGGGGGTTCCCCGCTGGGATGGGAAAGCCCTTGGGTATTCAGATTAACTTGCGGGTCAGTGTCAGTCACTGTTTGCTGCTGCAACTAATGCAGGACTGTCAATCCAGATGACTTGGAGACGCAGTCGTTTGGCTCCAACTGGGGATATTCATTGACAGGAAATCTAGTTAGAAATGACAACCTAATCCTATGATGGAATTGTCATTATTCTTCAGGTTACAACCTCTAAAGACAATGCTGATGTACCACTCTGCTCTGCTTCTTTGCGGTGCGAGTTTCACAGCAGAGGCGTTGAAAAAGAAGGAATGACAACAGGATGTCTTGCAGTACTAGATCCTACAGCGTCAACGAGTCGCTCTTGGAAAAGGAAAAGCAGCAATGGCAGGATGCTCGTTTTCAAAAAAGCACGTGGATGTTGTTGGACCTACTCCTACTTTTAGACAGACTGTGACTAATTTTTGAGAGCGGAACAAGGGGCTATGGAGAAATTCACTAACTTCTGTCATCTTGTGGCTGGTCACAATCCCAACAGCGGTCAATTTTGACCTGATTTTCCACAGGAGACAATGCACAAGCTTTTCGCATTTCCCCATTCTAATTCTAACGTCCGCGGAAATAAAGTCACTTTACCCGACCACGTCGCTTTGGCGAATGAACTGCCGGTGCAGCATTCGCAAGCCCAGGCTTGAAACCTACTTGAGCATGGTTTTGTTCGGTCAATCAAATTGAAGGAGAGAAAACACTAAATAAAAGCAAGACAGGGCAAACATCCTGTTGTTGGAGGCTGAATCCCAAAATGGCAATCAAGACTATTGGCTGCTTTGAGAAGTGGTCTATTGGGACTTTTGCTATGCTAACATGATCTCAGATTGAGACAGCACCAGTTAGGGGATGGATTGCAGTGAAAAACTCTGTTCGTGTGGGTTGCCAGCCAGGTATTAACAAGCTGTGCCAGTCTGAGAAGATACTGTCTTCCATCAACCCCTGAACTTCGTGCATACTAAATTGTCCCCTGGCCCCAAGCCCCTGCTATTTTCTTGTTTGACCGAAAGCCCAGTTCTGCATAATCATTTTGTGATTTGTTATCGTGTTCTAGATTATCTAGTAGTCTAAGAACCCTGTTCCCTCTTTCTTGCTTCCTTTGACTCCGCTTCTTGATTTCGACCTGTCCATTGTTCGATAAGGACTTGCAGACATAAGGGGACTACTCAGCCACTGCTAGGTAATCATACAGCGCCACTGACTTGGAAATCTTGGCAAGTCTGTCTTTCCTGCCAAGTCTCGCTTCCTGCTTCATTCAGTCATGGTCTTGAGCTCCTATTAGCCTTGTGCAGCTCGATAACGTCGATGCAAGCCTAGGCATTGGTCCGAACCAGGCTGGGTGTCTAGGAATCGAGCTATCCGAGACATCAAACTGAGCTCCTTAAGACTGTGCGTTTGCGTGTAGCGCGAGTCTGTAAGGCAACCGTTTCCACATCCGCAACGATATTCATATACGTTCAAGTGAATATTCGCGAGTGCAGCCATTCTTGACACTGACTCGGATTAGAGACTGATCTCAAAAGTCCTGGCAGAGTTTTGACCTCCTGGAATATGTTTGTTTGATGCTGAAGACTGGCAAAGCCTGGCCAATAGGCTTTCCAACCAGCAACTATCTCAACGGGCAAACATGCTTCTTTATTCTTCTTCCAGCTCGGGAGACTAGATAGATACTGCTCTTTGGAGTTCCTGCCATCGTAATCCGCGGGCTGTCCGCTCCGCAACAACATGAGTGCTCATCTTGATTTGGCATATCACTTTATATGCGCTTGGGAAGGGGAAGTACATGGTCTTCCTGAGACAAGGCTCCTGGAGGTGAAGACTACGGTGGAGCTTCTTGTTCTTTTTGGTGGCAATTGATTGGGGATCTTGCGCAGAGAGCTCCAAGTCCTCCAGCCTAGAGTACTAGACCCTTCTGTGGTTACCATCAGGTCATGTTCGTCTCGTGCAACGTTACTCTGTGAAACAGAACCTCTAAAACGCCTTTGATTCTGTCTGTCTGGCCTTCTATCTGCGTGCTTCTGGGGAGTCCAATCTACTTGACGTTGGAAGTGAATGCAACACGGGACAATGCATATGCTCTCCTGGTACAACAAAAGACTGAAGATTCAGGTATCAAACTGACCATCCTCCTGGCCCAGTCACTGAGAACACTTGAGGCAAGCTTATGACTGATCTATAATTCCCCTTCGAATGGTCCAGTTAGAAGATGTGGGAATAAGAGCCCAAGATAATTTTTTTGTTCGCAAAAAAGAAAAAGAAAACCGAAGGAAACCCCAGTCATTCATACAAATTATGGCCCACACATTGACTTAAAATCAGACCTTGATTCCGATTGAAAGACACACCCCTCTCATTTCTTTCCCGGTCCCTTTTCCAGTTTCTACCTGAGGCAGACGGAACATGCTGGACACAATCATCCCTAATTCAAAGACCTCCAAGTTCCCAGCTAACCTTTGAGAGAAGCCGTCCCGACCCCCTCGGACCTGTCTTGACTTGAATGTGTGAGTCTCAGACTCAGGAACAATCCTACCCTAATCGGCGAAGTCATGGCCCATTCTTACTACCCTTCTGGGGATGAGGTTGGTCTCGATCGACAATCCAGACATGAGGCTCATTCAATATCACCATCAATTGGACCCGATGGCCAACAGGACATGGTGGAGAGAGGCACGAGTTCCGTGAGTCCTGCTCTAGACATCAACGGCAGAAGTCGGAACTCTACCAGGCGCCGTATCCAAGTCGCAGTAAGTAGCGTATAGTTTTGGTAGTCTTTGAAACGAAAGAGGAAATCATTTCCTGACACTCGCAGTGCAATCGATGTCGCAAAAGGAAGATCAAATGCAGCGGGGATATTGGTGACGGACAAGGATGTTCGAACTGCCGGGCCTCTGGCAATACGAATTGCCAGTTCTTAAGGGTAAGATGACACTAGCCTACCTGAGGGATACGTTCTCACTGAGGTTGGAGAGCTGATATTTGCAAGGTCAATTCATCAATGCTCCAGACGAAAGTTTCCGGGTGGCAGTCTGCGCTAGATGCTACGGTTTCTTCCCCCCAAAGACTAGGACTTTATGCACATATGGTCCCAAACTCTGGACTAGTATCAACGAACTCCCTCGGTGTGCGGCTTGGGTCCTTCTCGCGGCCATCTGGTTACGATCTAGGGACCTTCAACTCTCAGCATCCACCTAGTCGACACCCTTTCAGTCTTGATCATACGGCCAACTACGAGAATGAGCCGACTGCATACACTCCTCAGTCATCATACATGTTCCCCAGCTCGCACCAAGGTATCCTGCCTGACTATTGCGGCCTTGCATGGAGCACCAAGGCATGGAATTCTAACGTCCAGGTCAATAACGCCCAGAGCGGAGCAGCATTTCCTACCCAAGAGGCCGAGAATACCTTTACCTCACCCTCATATCCCTTCTTGTTCTCAGGTCAAGGAACTCAATCGACTGACGTTCCAATGACATGCACACCTTCACACGGACAAGGCGCCGATCGGACACTACCAAAGGCATCCGGCCGCAGCCAGCTCCAAATGGGTATGTCTTCGCCAAGCGCGACTCCTGAAACCATGTCAGGACTGCTGTTATCCACGGAATATAGATATGGACATCATCTAGCCACAAGAGCCTCCATCCCAGGTAGTAGCCTTCCGAGCATGCAGCTTGGCTCGAACGGGAACTTTGGTGGTAACTCCCTGAACCAGACAAGGAAGGCGAGTCAGTCAAGTGCTCCGGACATAATATTCGATTATCTGCCCATAACATCGGTCGGAACGCCCTCACACCTTGGCCTCTCCACTGGTACAGCACTCAATTCGTTTGAGACGCTTGATTCAGGCGATGACTTCCGAGCGAGCACCGAAAGCCGATCAACAAGACCATTTTCCCGGGACAGCGGACGTTTCATATCTATGATGGGCTGTGGCTCAGATATCTACGGATATAGCAGCAGTGAAAAGAGCAAGAACCGGTCTGAGACGGGCGATACTGGATCCACGGCCACCCTGATGAACGGTCTTCCCTACACACGCCCGAGGCATGCGGATACTCATAGCACCGTACCATTCGATCTCCTCGCGACCGAGGTCTTACCGGAATATCGGGTATCTGCCGAGCTGCAGCGAACATCTGTCTCAGCTTTGAGTAACCCGGGCGGATTCTAAGTAGGCCACGTCTCTAATTTGCTGACCAATAAGGGACCGGTTGGGATAGGGAAGTCCTGCGCAGAAAAGGCTGCTCTCTGCTTCTCGACTCTGATGGCTGGTTTGCGATCTTCTCATTTTCGTGTTTTGATTTGTATTTCTCGCATCTTTTCTTCTCGCCCATTTGGCGGCGATCCTAGTATCTGTTGAACCTTGCTGCGTGCGCCTGACCGTGCTTTTCTGCACTTGGACAGATTGAGATGTTACACTAATATTGAAGGTTGTAGAGTATTGGTCTACGGTGGGCGATTTTCGTGTCTACCTTTCTTCCTTTCATGTGTCTGCTGTTTGTTAGGGAACTAGCGGCCTGGGTGGCAGATTCCTTTTGTTTCTCCTCTTTCTTTTGATCACAATGTGGCGGGAGTTTGCATTGCTCTCTTCTGAGATGTCCTTTTACCTGTTATAATTTGTCATATTCCATCTATAATCGGACCGATTAGCACAGAGAGTGCCTGTGGCTAGACTGCCTGATCTCCGCAAGGAAGGACAATAATTGCGTACGTTTGAGCACCAAAATATGTTGTTATATTGACGGATAAAGACCTGCCATATCCATCATGCTAGCCTAATGTATGTTAGTCTGGTTGATCAGGACTTCGCATATCAGCAGCTGAAGAAAGAATGGTATGTATAAGAGGATATGATTACAATGATTACCAGGGTTGTAGCGTTGTATATGATTCCACAAGTCAGTTCATTCGATGACCAAACGTGACCGGGCGTTGAGTATTGTGCTAAATCCTTGTAGCTACGAAACCGCATTTCTTGCGAAACAGCAGTAGCCTACGGCCGAGCCAGTATCTACCAGCGTCCAAAAGCAGACCGGAAACAAGGACAATGAATAACCGGAGCAGATCTTTTGTTGCTTTTTTAAATAGTACATCGACCGAGTCCCGATGTTGGAGGCTTCTGAATTGAGAGACTTGCGGTAGGTGCTGCTGGTAAGAGAGATGATTGAAGGATGCCTGTTCTGGTTCAGGAAACCAGAGGCGATAAGAGAGAGGAAGGAGGAAAGAGAGAGAAAAGAAAAAAGGAAAATGAATTTTCATCCCAGAGAATTACCCCAAATCTCGAATTTTCCCTGTCTGTATCGTCATGGTCATGATAAAGGGCGTAACAGTATGCGCCACCGAAACCACCGCTATTATCACATCCAGCAGGGTCAGCCCCTGGCCGCGTCGTCCGCCCCCGTATCCGAGTCCACCTCCAACTCCTTTCACCAGGATCAAGCCAAATGCATTTAGTCCTTGTTCTTCTTGGGTCCCTTGGTCTTGGCGGTACCGCGGAACTTCTTGGAACGGTTCTTCCGTTGCTTGCCTATAAATCGGGAAGAGAGATTAGCAATGCTAGATTGAGGAACCCCCGGAGATATGAAAGGCATGTATGCATGTCTGGTTCAATCTCGAGGGTGTGAGTGGGCGGTGGCTCAAACGTACGCTGCTGTCTGCTGGCCTTCTCGATCTTAGTAGCGGCACCGATGCGGACCAGGCGGTAGTGAGGCTCGAACTTCTTCAGGGCCTCGTGGGAGTCGTAGACGAGGGCGAAGCCAGTGCTCTTGCCACCACCGTACTGAGTGCGGAAACCGAAGACGGAGACCTGGTCCTTGTTGGCCTTGTACAGCTCGGCGAGCTTCTCGCGGAGCTCGTCCTTGGAGACATTAGCCCGGTTGGGGTGGAGGACGTCCCTGTAAGAAGTCGATGTTAGAATCATCGTCAAACTCATCATCACCATCACGACAAAGAATGCCCTTTGCATCTGTGCTTTGAGAATTTCCAGGTCCTTCCTTCATGATAGTATTCCAAGGTGATATAAAAATCCGATAATCTCCATCATCAGTGCCATTTGTTGCCTTGGTATCTCTTTGTCGTTCCGCATATTCCACACTCAAAATCTTTTCTTCCCAGCACACAAAATCACTTTTCAAAAAAAAAATTGACCAGAAGGGACCCTCTCCCTGGAAATTCTCAAGCGCGTGATAGGGAGGAAGAAAAGGGCTCCTTACACGACCATCTGCTTTCTGGCGAGCAGGGGGTTGCGGATGAACTTGCGAGTCCGCAGGGTAACGGGAGTATCGGCCATGATTGCGGTGAGTGGGATTGACGAGAAGGTTGAATCACCAGCGGCGAGAATCTGCGAGCGAGAAAAGGAGCAGAAACTCGACAGGGACGAGAGGTTTGGGGGATTGTCGAAGTCGCTGTTGTCGTTGCCGGGTTTCTCGAAATGCGATTCAATTTTGCTTCCGTTTCGTTGTGCAGTTCCAGCTGTGGGCTCGGCTAGGGCACCCGCTAGCCCGTTGCGGTTTAGCGTGCACCTGACCCGACCGGAGCCATACATTTTGTATTAGGTATTCCTCCATACTTATTAAAGCAGTGTACCTCTGTTATAGGAAGATACCGTGAAAGGGCAATATGTCCCTTGTATCATCCTCAACAGAGGATGACGGTGGCGGTCATAATGATAAATTTGTCCCCATTGACAAACTGGTCGCGCAATATTTCCAGCAGGTCGAACCCCACCTGCTAGAATTCCCCGATGGCAGGACCATGATCAAATCTGCCACTCAGTCAGCCCTCTATGAACGAATGTTCAACGAGGCGGTTCTGTGGCCGATTCCCCCTTTGAACTACCGGGCTCGTGTTCTAAAGGTTATCTTGTCTATACTGGAAGAGTCCATTTCAGACCCTGAGGAGGATGTATGAAAACCCTCTGTACCATGTTACGTTGAGTAGCCCCGGCTTGCACAGCCCTTTGTATGCGATAATTCTGAAATCGACTACCAGTAGACATATCCTTTCATACAATCATGCTCGTATTCTAACATCTCTTTTCTTCTAGGAGATCTTAGATGATCTCATGGAATGCTGGAGCACGCTCGTGGCCCAACCAAAGCCATCAGCTCTCCAACAAGCCCAGCAACTGGCCTATGTCAAATACACAGCCCCAGTCTCAGTCCCAGCTTCAGATGCAGATGCAGATGGAGCCCCGTCAGAAGAATACAGGAGCAACCGCACAATCGTCACCTCCGAATCACGCGGTCTGATCCTCTCCGCAGGAACAACAGGCTTCCGCACCTGGGAAGCAGCCCTGCATCTCGGCTCATTTCTCTCCACGCCCGCCGGGCAAGCCCTCGTGCGCGGGAACCGGGTCATCGAGCTCGGCGCCGGCACAGGCTTCCTATCCATGTTCTGCGCGAAACATCTCGGCGTGCAGAGCGTGGTCGCCACGGACCGCGAGCCGGCCCTCATCGAGAATATCCGCGATTGTATGCGGCGAAATGAGCTCGACCCTACTGTCTTCCATCCTGCGATTTGGGAGTGGGGGACACCCTTGTCTTTGACTCACTCTGAGCCGAAGGAGGGCGACGACGACGGCAAGGGCGACGTCGACGCTGCACAGACTGCCGCGGTGTCAGGCAATGGTGATCTGACCTTTGACGTTGCACTCGGTGCTGACCTGGTAAGTGCACATGATTATGATAATCCTCTGGCCCGTGGGGTCGATGGCTCGCAGTACAGGCACGGAGAATATAAAGCATCGTGCAACCTACCTGACTAATTAAAAAAAGATCTACGACGTCGACCTTGTCCCCCTCCTCCTATCCACCCTCCGCGACCTCTTCGAAAACTACCATCTCCGGGAATTCATCATCTCCGCAACGCTCCGGAACCAGGATACCTTCCAGACGTTCCTAAATGCCTGTGGTGAGTGCATCATCAAGTCCAACTGAGGCAGGTTCCCCTTCTAAAGGTTTCTGCGCAGCAACGAACGATTTGCAAGTGGAATGCATGCCGTATCAGTCTCCCTCTGCGGAGACGCAAACGGGTTTCTTCCATTCGACTAGTATACCTATCCGTACGTATCGGATATCGAGGCGTGTGGTATGACACGTGGTCGTTTTGGGTGGTAGACAATTCACATGTTTAATGATGATATCTCTGGTGTGACGCAGTCACGAACAATCTCTACAATGTTGTGAAAAATGTATACTATTACTGCCGGCCTCTAAGATGAGAGCAGGGCCTGTGCCTTGCGGCAAGCTGCATTTCTCCGTCGATAGGTGATTTAAGCCAGGTGGACCGGTTTGAAGTAAGGTCATGAATTGTGGCAGGTAGCTAAGCATACGCCATGAGGCGAACGAAACATAAGAAATGGGTAGCTGTAGGGGTATCATATAGACTGTCAAAAAAAATGTAAGGAAAAGTGACCAAAAGGACGGTACTCCAGATCCGTGGCTAGATGCAGAAGAACGAAGGGATCATTCAGGTCATACAACGAGATGCAAATGTAGTAATATAATCGAGAGGCTGAGTATAAGGATGAAAACGACAGACGATTAAAAACCAAAGAGAACGAGGGCTGGTGGGTCTCCGAGGATAATTACTCGGCCAAGCTCTCCCTCAAAAGTCCCTCATCCAGTTGCTCCGGATGCAATGAGACAGGAGCTCGCGGCGGCGGTCGAAGGCCCATGATCGGTCCTGACTGGTTAACACCTGGATACCTGTATCGCAGATTCGGGACTGCGTCGAAGCTGGCCCTGCTCCTCCTTGCCCCAGCAGAGGACGGACGGGCAGGTTCTGGCGAGGCGGTACTTTCCGGAGGCAAAGCATCCGACTCGACCTGAGGCTTAGCATTCCCATCTGCAGAGACAGCAGCGATGCCCCAACGACCTCGCACCCAGCCTCCCACCCGACGGCTCAGCGAAGTCTTCCGGTTTGGAGTGACATTGGGCTCGGTCGAGCCGCCGTCCACGGACACAGCAGACAGTGTATCCGCGGTGCGGCTTCGGCCTGCAACTGTAGCGAGGAATTTTCGGGGGGAATGCTCGGAGGTCTTTGGTGGCTCTCGATCCGCCGTGACCGTGCTGGTTGAAATGACGGGCGATGGTGAGAAGAGCTCCGGGCTAGGCGATATGATGCGGCGTGGAGCACGAATTGGCAAGCTGAATTGAAGATGGTCGCTGATCCGCGAAGGGCGGCGACTGGGTGTATGGATGTCCATGCCTGCAATTGAAAAGAGGCTCTCGTGGGATTGACGTATGCGTAGGGTGGGACTGTGTGGTGTCGAGAACACATCGTCAGAGATTGTTGGAGGCCGGTCAGGGACCGACTCCGCATACTGGGTAGACGAGGAATCCTCCATCTCCTCGGGTATAACCGACTGGAGCGGCATCCGATCCAACTCTGCATAGTTCGTATGGTCACCGAAATAGTCGTATGCCATGTGCATCGAATCATCACCGACTCTCTCAGTTCCATCAGGTCCATCCAGGAGCCGGAACGGTACATCAAGAGGGACGTTCTTATGCCGCGAGACCATTACCGGAGACGAGACGGCTGTGCTTTCAGGACTAGTCGGTTGCGACGATTCGAATCCGCGTTCCACCCGGTCAAAGATGGATGACGCTCGATACCCTGACTGTGGCGAGCTCGCTAGCGAGGATTCGGCTGCGGGTGATCGCAGTGACCAGCGGCGGGAAGCCGCGGCGGGCGGAATTGAAACGGACGTCTGAGACAAAATAGTTGAAGTCGAGGAGACGGACGATTGGTGCTGGTGCAAGGATTTCCGGGACGCCTGGGAGCTCGACGACGAGTGCATGACTGTGGTGGCTCCCAGAGACCGTCTCTTTTTGGACCGACGAAAGATGGTACTTTTGTCCTTCTTCGAGCCGACGGAGATGGAGGGGGTATGGTAATGATGATGAATATGGAATTCTTGTGATACGCGGCGCGATTCTTTCGATTCTAGTTCGTCATTCAATGTCGTTGATGGCGGCGGCGGTTCTCGCTCATCGTCTTCACCGGTTGAAGTCAAGGGCTGATGCGACAGGATCTGATGTCGCAAATTTTGCACCTCCTGGTTCGAGCTTTCGAGCATCTCCCGCAGCTCTATGATACCCATCTGCAGATTCGCATTATCCTGGAGGATGTCCCGAACGAAGCGTGAGACGAGGTTAGGGTTGCCGTGATTCCGACCTAGCTCCTGCGCGGCAGCAGCGCCCTTTAAGCGTCCAGCCGCACCGTCAAGCTCACGCTCCACCGCCCTTCTCCGCTCCATGCGCTGGATGAGTTCGGTGTGTCGTTCACGCTCCTCCCGGGCCTCTTTCTCGATTCGGTCGACTTGATCATGCAAATCTCGGAGGGTACATTCGGCCTTCTTCCATCGCTGCACGGCTGACTTGCTATCTTCCTGGGCCACCTGTAAAGTCTCCTGTAGTCTCGACTGGTCGGCCTCCATCTGGGCCAGTTGGACTTCGAGTTCCGCAGCGCGGGCGGCCGCCATGGTCACTTTGCGCAGCTCGGCCTCTCTGCACTCTAGCGTAGCCGCGAGCGACTTGGCATGAGCGTCCGATTCCGCGACAGCCTTGTTCAGACCGTCCAACTGCTCCAACAAACCACGGTTCTCTTCGATGATGCGGGCATTCTCGGCCTCAACCTGGCGCTTCTCACGCTCCAGATTCTCAATATTGGCGAGTAACCGCCGGCGGTCTTCCTCCGCCTCGGCCATGTACGATTCATGGCGATGGAGCAGAGCCTGGAGAGCAAAGGTTAGCGATGACGAGTTCATTGACGGGAGATCCGCTGCAGGTTTATCTGCTTGGACAGCCATGACGGACTGTAACACAGTGGGATAGAATCGGGGACCGCAGTCCCTGAGACTCCATGGAGGGCGAGCAACTAGGCAGTAGACACAACGGGTACGAATAAATGCTCGCGTTCTTTTTTGGGGATCTTCGCCTAATCCCCGATATGGACAGGGAATATGGACGAGAATTCCAGAGTCAAAGGCTTAATAATGTAAAGGAAGGAAGACAATGGCCCTCCAACCAGGAGAATGTGCGAAGGTATGCGTATAAACAAAAACTGGGGTATGTACGCAATCACAGCAACCAAATATCAGGCACTTATGATGGAGGCCTGACGTTCGTATAAAGCCTCTTTTCGGGAGACAAAAGGACAGTAAAAGAAAAGTGAATCACCAACGTACCTGGCCCAATCGAGCAGCGGTTTCAAGATCCTTCTCCAATCCCTCCAAGGCAAGATTATTATTATGGAGGAACGCACAGTCATTACGGCCACAACAACAGCGAAGGACGGCGGGAGTTGAGGAGGAATGGGTAGGAATGCAGGGAACCTGCCCTGCAGGGACCGGACTATGCGGCCGGGGATGAGATTCCATGGCCGAGGAGATCAGGGAAAGGAATGCGACCTTCCCAAGAGAGTTCGTCAGTTGATCTCTAGACCGGATAGATAATGAGCTGGCACCCCTTGGCGGAGCGATGACTTGGAACAGAAGCGCCAGTTCATCGAAGCTGAGGTGTTGGTGGGGCAGAGAGA